CCTGAAGGGATCATCTGTCCTGGATTCCCTGTATTTCCAGTTCCTATCTGTACCAGTGTACATCCTCTGGTCTAGCCAGACTTGTAAGGTAGAATTCATATCATGATAGTGGGAGCGGGGAGGAAACATTTAGGAACTAGAGGAAAGTTATATTTTTCATCGTTGCTACATTGCTCCCTGACTGTCTAGTCTCCTCCCCGAGACCCCTCTGCAAGGGGATCTCCAGTTCAACCAGATTTTTAACACAGCCTTCCCTCCCTATTTACATAGAGCCTATTAATAAGAACTGTAGGTAGTTTACAACTGCCAGGAAATGGCATCCTGGGGAGTCAGGAAATGTGAGGCCTTGGTTTATTTAGTTGTTACTTAATTTTCCAAATTAAAGTTGTATAAACTAGCTATTCAGCTGGAATTTTGATTCTGATTTCATTCGGCACTGCCGCAATAGCAGCTGGGAGAAAGGTGAGGCTTTCTCCTGGCAAGCAGCACAGTTTGGCCCCGGCCTATAGGGTCGCTCTGAGATGGAGTCAACTTGATGGCAACGCACTATTTGCTGTTGCTGGTTTTATGATATTATTTATGTGCCCTGTTTAGTGTTGTTTTAGATTGTGTTTGCCAGACTATATATCAATTAAATACAAATGGATGATCTCTTACAGAGATCATAGGGATTCAGTTATCATCATCATCATTATTGTTCAAATTTAAGTACTCATTCACTATTTTTCTCTCTTATCTAATTTTGTTATTAACTTTGCACACCTCATCTCTTTCATTTTAGTATTCACTTATTAAATATTATCTTATTTAGACTAGAATGTCTTCTAAAAATCATCAATCCCATAGATTTTGTTCAATAAGAATAGAGGTAGTAATCAAAATTCCTCACTGGCTAAAGTATGACGAAGAGTTTTAGGGTTTGATCATGTCAGCTTCCAGTTTTTATTGCCTTCATTAGTCTTAGCTTCTTGCTCTTTACTTGTAGGTTCCTTTTATATTATAATATTAAATTTTATAAAGGCTAAATGCATTAAAATCTTAATTGTGTGTATATTTCAAATTGCACATGTATAATGACTCTTAAGAATGTGAAAGTGAGTTGCATATTTTATGAATTGAAAACTATCACTTGTTCTAGAAATAATTTTTATTATTCTTATGTTTTCAGTACAATAATACTGTAGATGGTGTTTTTAAAGTTTATACTGGAAGAGATAACATAAGCAAAGTTGCCATCATTGACACTTACAAAGGTAAAAAGTAAGTATCCTGGTAAATGTATTTGTGTCTGTATATTAGTTGCTGGGATACAACTCTAAGGCTGAAGTGGTATTCTTTTAAGACACAGGCGCCAACATTTGCAATTGCCCTGCCGTGTCTCCATCTCCTGGAAATGTCCACTGTCTCTTGTGTTCACAATTACGTGTGACAAGTAGCATGTACACATCCCTGTACACCTGTGAAATACCAATCCCTCCGTAGGGTTTGCTTGACTCTTTAGGCATGAGTTCTTGTGCAAAGAGAAATGCAAAGCTCCCATGCCATCTAGTACCTGCTTACTGAGAACACCAGTATTCATCACCGAGGTAAAGTAAGGAAATCAATACATCAGCTAATTGTGTAGCATTATGTAAACAAACACACTTTACTGGACTTTATTTACTTTTAAAATTTGAGCATATGGGGGAAATAAAGTGAATTCCAGTACTGTGGCCTGAATGAGTTCCTAAAAATGAAGTTCAATGAATCTAAGTAAATACTCTCATGACTTTGCCTTGTCAAACTGCATTGAAATATTTTTTCTATATTAATATGTGTTAGTCTGGAATGATTAGATAAACAAATCTAGAGACAATCATATGTGTATAAGAAAGAGCTTTATATAAGGAGCAATTGTACATTAAGAAAACATCCCAGCCCAGTCCAGATCAAGTCCATAAATCTGATATTAGCCCATATGTCCAATACCAGTCTATAAAGTCCTCTTCAGACTCGTGAAACACATGCAATGATGCCAAATGCAGAAAGAACACAGACCAGTGGTGGGAAGTCTTGTGGATCCTGTAGCATTGTAAGCATCTCAGTGCTGGCAGGGATTGCCACGTGGCTTCTCCGACTCCAGAGGTCTGGCTCCATCAGCCTCTCTCCATGTGTCTTCTCCACCGGGATGTATCACAGGGTGTGAGCATGTGTCCTGCCTCCAGCAAGCTATTTATCTCCTTAGCGCCCTCAAATGAGGTCATCAAGCTACTATCTGATTGACAGGCTAGACTCCACCCCTTCACTCTGAATCCTCAAATTGACTCCAGATTATGTAACTTCCACAAAATAATTCACCTTTTATAACATGTGTCAGTGTAAACATGTAATGGTTACTTTAATACAGCTCTAAAACTTGTGTGCAAAGCCTACAAATTAGGCTCATGACTCCTTTGAAGTGGTAAAAGAAGAAACTATCTTCATATTGCCAGCCTTTCCATTTTTTTTTGAACTCCTGGACAAGACTTAATTTAGCAGATATATCAAATGGAAAGAACCATAGTGAGGAATGACATCTTTTCTTTTCCTTATAGCCAATAAGCATGTTTTATTTATTTTATTTTTTTAAACATTTTATTCATTTTATAGTCATTATTATTAACTCCACATATCACCCTCCACACATACACTGACCTCTCAGACCATAGTCCTAAGAAATTATTATTCTAGTTATTGTCTCTATAGATTTACCTATCCTGGATTTCATATAAAGAAAATCTTACAACCCACCCTCCTAAACAACAATAACAAAAGAAAACACAGAAAAACTTAAATCCAACAGAAAGCAGAAAATAATTAAAACGGTAACAACAAAATTGGGTCAAAAGTAAAACAAGTGACAAGGTGGGGTGGTCAAAAATTAGGCTACTAACCACCAGGTCAGTCGTTCAAAACCACCAGCTGCTCCCTGGGAGAAAGATGAGGGTTTCTACACCTATAAGGCTCTACAGTTCTAGCCTGTCCTATACTTTGTGAGTCAGGATCTATCTATTGGCAGTGAGAATGGTTTCCTTTTTGTTGTTGTTTTGCATTTTGTTTTGATTGTCCGCGTAGAATCACTTTCTGATGTACTCCATCTGAGGTCAATCCTATTCACAATTGTCATTGTCAAGGGTCCAGAGGATTACAATGTGGGCTTAATTATGAGGCTGATTCTGCAAAGGGGTTTTGGCCTTTAACTAGGAATCATAGTCTTTTGCCAACGGAGTGCTCAAAGTTTAAACTCTAATACAATTCCCTCTACTGATCTTGAATTTTATATTTTACCAACCTTGGATCACACAGGCTGCTGTGCTTTCTTCGTGCGAACTTAGCTGACACCTCGCTGAGATGGCTGCTTGTTTTAAGATAAATTTTAGAGACCCCAGACATAATTCTTTTTTTGTAATCATTTTATTAGGGGCTCATACAACTCTTATCACAATCCATACAAACATCAATTGTGTAAAGCACATTTATACATTCATTGCCCTCATCATTCTCAAAATATTTGCTCTCTACTTAAACACTTTGCATCAGCTCCTCACTTTCCCCCTCCCTCCCCACTCCCCCATCCTTTATGAACCCTTGATAATTTATAAATTATTATTTTGTCAAATGTTGCACTGTCTGACACCTCCCTTCACCCACTTTTCTGTTGTCCGTCCCCCAGGGAGGAGGTTATATGCAGATCACTGCAATAGGTTCCCTCTTTCTACCCCACCCTCCCTCCACACTCCTGGTATGGCCACTCTCACCACTGGTCCTGAAGGGATCATCTGCCCTGGATTCCCTTTGTTTCCAGTTCCTATCTGTACCAGTGTACATCCTCTGGTCTAACCAGATATGTAGGGTAGAATTGGGATCATGATAGTGGTGGGGGAAGGAGGCATTTAGGAACTAGAGGAAAGTTGGATGTTTCGTGGTTGCTACACTGCACCCTGACTGGCTCATCTCCTCCCTGCGACCCTTCTGTAAGGGGATGTCCAATTGCCTACAGATGGGCTTTGGGTCTCCACTCTGCACTCCCCCTCATTCACAATGATATGATTTTTTGTTCTGATGATACCTGATGCATGATCCCTTCGACACCTCGTGATCATGCAGGCTGGTGTGCTTCTTCCATGTGGGCTTTGTTGCTTCTGAGCTAGATGTCCGCTTATTTACCTTCAAGCCTTTAAGACCCCAGATGCTATATCTTTTGATAGCTGGGCACCATCAGCTTTCTTTGCCACATTTGCTTATGCACCCATTTGTCTTCAGTGTTCATATCAGGGAGGTGAGCACACAATGATATGTTTTTTTTGTACTTTGATGCCTGATAACTGATCCCTTTGGCACCTCATGATCATGTAGGCTGGTGTGCTTCTTCCGTGTGGGCTTTGTTGCTTCTCAGCTAGATGGCCGCTTGTTTACCTTCAAGTCTTTAAGACCCCAGATGCTATATCTTTTGATAGCAGGTCAGCTTTCTTCACCACATTTGCTTATTTATCTGTTTTGTCTTCAGCGATTGTGTCGGGAAGGTGAGCATCATGGAGTGCCAGTTTGATGGAACAAAGTATTTTTGTATTGAGGGAGTATTTGAGTGGCGGCATAATTCTTTATGTTAGTAGTGTACCATTTGATTTCTTAACCACACTTAAGAGTAGTTATTTTCTGAAAAAGAACAAAGTAATAAACACTTATCTAAAAATCATATGTTTTTAAAAAAAAAATCATATGTTTTTAATAGTGAAACATATAAAACCTTTTCTTCTGAAGGATCCATAACTATATTTGTTTATTTTCAGGAACAATTAGGGGGTAGGTGGGGGCACTTCTTCATGTTTTTTGTGGTGGAATTCATGCTATATTTATTTATTAAAATCAGTGGCCATTTTGCTCTGTTCACATGTTACAGAGAGGTTTTGAGAAGAGAAACTGGGAGCTTCTAATTATAAGAATTTCATATTAGTTTGGAATTATTAAAACTTTAGTAAATTGACCACAGCAAGACAGATCGTGATTAAAATCTTGTATTTTAAAAAGGCAGCAGTATGCCAGCACCTTAAGTTGACATGGAACTGGATGTGAAGAGTAGAAAACAAAACAAAACTGCTTTGATATCACAAAAAAGTGCTAAAGCTACTGGGATAGTATGAAAATCATTTTAATTGTTTTGTACATATTTATGGCTGATTAGAACACCAGAGCATAAACTAATGACCCCTGCTGTACTTTAATGCTATTTCAGAAAAGAGCTGAAGTATAAATTGTTTATCAAAATGTTTCTTATCTCTGTTCATCTAAGTATTTGCTTGTTTCGTTCTTCCTTCCACTCCACTCCACTCTTCTATCCCAAACTTACATTTGTTTACCAGTTTAACAAATACTTCCCTCCTGTTTAGTGCCCAGTCTCAATTACTACCAAATAATTCACTTCTCCCACTGGAGAGCCAAACAGAATGCCCCTAAGTAAGTATTCAAGTTTCTCAGCAGTGTTTCTCCATTCTCTTCTTCAAAACTGTTTTTATTCCAAATTCCTTTTCTAAGTCAGTTTATCCTTTTCTAATCTGTCCCCTTAGAGGGATCAGGCACTTAATTCATTTCAACAAGATAAAACCTTAAAACAAACATGGACCAAATGAATGAGAACATTTCTCAAACTTCCCACTGTCATACCTAATCTTCATTATATTAGCAGAAGTATTAAGTGACACCACAAAAATGGAATGTGAGAAAGAAAAGTGCTCTTGAAATTAGAATGCTCTATTCATTTTCCTTTCTATTTTCTTCCTAAGGAATCTCTCCTATTGGCCAAGTTATTGTGACATGATTAATGGGACAGGTAAGGACACTCTGCTTTGTGGAAAGAATCCCATTGAAATCACCTGACCCTCTACCACAAATCCACCATCCCATCCATTGTGTTCCCAAATCTGAGGGTGTGCTTATTTGTCTGCAAATCCCTACAGCATACTATGTTCTTTCTTTCACCAAGGCTTTATATATGTCTGTTTAATGTGCCAGGCTTCCTGAAGATTAACCAGAGATTTGATCTTACTGTATTACTAGGGATATTTTTGCTTTGAAAAACTTTACTTCATAACCACAACCACCACCCTGCCCCAGGCTAGCAGCAGCTGGAAGGGTTCTGTTTGTGTTTGTAGGTCCTAGGGTAATTACCATTCACTGCATAGTTAACACGGTTCAGCTCACAACTTAGAACAGAAGAAGAGCAAAAGAAGATAAGTGTGAAAGGAAAAATAAGTAGAAGGCAGGTTTAAAGTGGAGGCAGAGGCTGTGGTGATACAAGGCACAGCCATTTATATACTATTTTGTAAAAGATGGTCAGATTTGTAAGGGAGCAGAAAAGAAAACAAGACAAAAGTTAGATATCTAGAAACATTGAAAAATATAATTTAAAAAGTAACATTCTGAATTAGCGTGGGGGAAAAAAGAAAGCACCATGGATTCAGGGTGTGGTGGATCAGGTACATTACTCCACTTGAAGAAGAAGCAAAGTACAAAGATTCCTATTAGTTTAAGTAGGAAGAATCCTAAAGACCACGGGAATCAAATTCGATGATATGGTTAAAGGTAGGGGTGAAGTTCAAACTACGAAGTAGTGGTAGCATGGTTTTTACAACACTAGTGAAGCAGAACCCTACAGAAACTGATAATAAAAAAAGATGAATATGGCAAAATGAAAGTTATACATAAAAAGGAAGTAAAAGAATACATAAAATAGTTCCATTGCAAAGGCATGGTTGAGTTTTGCACAGTTAGTTAATTTTATTAGCCATCTTTTAGGAAAAACAGCAACAAAGGTGCTTCATTTCCTTGGTGGATTTTTGAGCTGTGGGGATGGGTGAAGACATTCCTTTCTGAGAAAAGCACTTTTGCAAATAAAGCGTGAAGAGCCCCAATCATACTAGCTACAGTAATTGTGTCAGACTATATACTTCAGTCCTTAAATACAGAGACATACCCTGCACTTCCACTAAATAGTGAAGGAGTCTTTGAGAAAACAACATTGACAACAACAGCAACAAACACCATTAAATGCTGCTATCCAAAGTTGAGAAGTACTTTTAAGAAGAGGAGTTATAAGATCAATCAAAGGCACAAGTAAAAACTCATGAGCATCAGGCATGAAATTAAAGTTATCCCTAGGATAACTAGAAGTAAAACACTAAAAATGAAACAAAACTAAAAATACCTCAGTGTCATCATGACAACGCTGATTCATAAATGGCTCTATAAAATGGATTAGGCTAGGTCTTTACACAGTCAGCACGTCTCACCATTCTTCTGTAGAGCAAGCAGTGGTCATGAACTGCTGACCGTGCAGTTAGGGAGCCAGCCCATACCCCACTCTCCCAGAAATGGGTGAGACAATTTCTCTGTGAGAGAAATTCTTAGTTTGGGCACAAAGGAAAACAGACGCATGAAACTGAAACGTGGCCAAATGTGTTTTCAGTGTGATTTATAGGTGTTTCCTCTATGCCCATCAGAAACTCTGAAAGAGCATAAACATAAAATGTTGATATATGAGAGGGCTTCCAAGAGTTTGTGGAAGAATTGAATTGAGAGATAATAGAGTTTTTCCATTACCTTTTTAAAGCCTGCTCCTCATTTCTTTCTAAACTTACAATAACAAAAGCAAAACCCTAATAGCTAATATCACCCATCTGTGGTGACTACCTACGGTATTTGCTGGATGTAATTAGGATAGACTCCTCAATAATTTTTCAAATAATGATTTTAAATATTTTAATGTATTATTTTTATATAACTGTTAACACATTGAAATGGCAGTTATAGGTCAGGCTCAAAAAGGAATCTATATAGTGAACCGAAACTCACTACCATTGAGTCCGTCCATTCACAGTGAGCCTACAGCAAGGGACGGAAAACTACCTCTGTGGTTTCATCAGCCTGGAAAGCCTCACCTTTCTCATGAGAAGTGGCTTGTGTTTCCCTACTGCTACCATGAGACCCAGGGCACCAAGCCATCAGGGATATTGTAAATTTAAGGTAGAGTTTGATTTCCAGTTCTGTCACGTTCAATCACAAAGGCACTAAAGGTAAAACTCTAACAAGGTCATGAGGTCAGAGTACTTGCCAGAGAGAAAGAAGGCACCCACCTTCCCCAGGAACCTGGAGTGATAGTTCTGCACTTGAGGAGCGAAGGAAGACCCCATCGGCTTATTTCTTTATGCAGCTCATGTGTGCCTTAAGGTCAGGCCCACAGTAGAACGTCAAGAAAGTTCATAAATATCCTCTTTAATTTGATAGAGAGATAGATTCAAACCACTAGCGGGAAATTCTAAGAGAAAGAACTTTAAAGGTTTTAACAATACACAACAGCCACCAAGACATATAAGAATTTATTTTAAAAAATAAAAATGATGCAAATTTGCCAATAAACTATGAAGTGTTGCTACAGGCACAGATTTGTTCCAAATAAAATACCTGTAAACACGACTCTGCTACCAGTGCTAGCAATACTGCCCAGCCAATGCTGAGAAATGTCACTCTGCTGGAAGCAGAGTCGGGTTTCAAAACACAAACAGTTGCAATTTCACACACGAGTGATCTCACCATTTTTGAAAGAATGAAAAAAAGCTACTTTGCTATGTAATCAAATACCCTGAATGTATATAGAAAATAGTTATGTTTTCCAGTATGGTAGCAAATAGCCACATGTAGTTTTGAGCACTTGAACAAGCTAAACTGTCCCATATACATGCTTAAAAATACAGACTGAGTTTTGAGATTTGGATTAAATTGACTATTTGATTAATTTATTGCACATTGATTGCACATTGAAATGATAGTATGCTAGATATATTGGGTTAAATAAAGTAAGTCTTTTCTTTCTGTATTTCACTTAAAAAAATAGGTCTAACAACATATTTAAGTTTACATGTGTGGTTTGCATTATATCCTGGTTCAATTGGACCATGCTGCAAGAGATTTCCATATTAACTAGTGTATACATGAAATTTAATATCACTCGTTTGATTTCTTCCCATAGATGCAGCCTCATTTCCTCCCTTTATTGAGAAGACCAGAGTGTTGCAATTCTTTTCCTCTGACATCTGCAGGTAAAACTAAGACATCAATACATTTCTGTGAGTCAGGTGTATTGGTCCCACCCCCACCCCTAAGTAGCAGCACACAAACCAAAAAGGTCACACTTAATGTTATTTGGAAGTGGAGAGTATCACTTAGAAATTTTTTCTCTTGATTTTAAAAATTAAATATCATATAGAGTTCCTATTAGCATTTATTACCACTTTAAAACTTGAAGAATGGTAGTATGATATTATATATAATGAAAAACGGTTGTGTTTTTCATTTTTACCAAAGCAAGAACTAATTTTCTTTTCTTTCATTAAACTAGTACTATATGTATTAACAACCGAGTCCAGAAGATCAACACAATCTTTCTACAGAAGTACATTAACTAATATGCTCTATCACTGCCACAGGGCGTGTTTCAAATTGATGAGATCAAATCAATAGTGCACAAGCATTGGAGCCAATCAGTATACTTGAATCCTGTGATTCCCCAAAGGTTGAAACATTTGTGGGGAAGCATTTAGTATCTCTGACTCCTGTCCTCCTTATCTGTAACACTACAGAGACTAGTGCTACTTTGTGTAGGGTTACCTAAGATCTTAGAAAGATGGCTGGTGAGTCCTAGGCCATGGTGCGCAGTTGTGAAATGCTGGGGGTGTGTGAGATCTACAGTAAGCACACCAGGCACATACCCAATGACTGAGTGGCCTTGCAGGACTACAGTTTGAAAGAGAGAAGCTTTATTTTTATTTCATTTGAGCTGGACAAAAATAAGGGTTTTGAAGGAATTCATTTAAATATGATATATATAAGGAAAATTAATTCTGAGAAATATCTTTGATATCAGTACTCCAAGGGAGTTCAAAAGCATAAGTTGCTCCCCCAAAAAATTTCAGATTAAGAAAAGTTCATATTTAGGCATCCAGGTAATGATGTGACTTAAAATTTCAGAACTATTTTCCAAGGAGTTAAACCCAAAATACAATTCTAAAGAGAACATTCTATTCTTAAAAATTATATAAATTTAAATGATATAAAAATTAATTATTTCTTCCCAGAATGTATTTCAACCCCTGAAATGATGATTGGGTTTGTTTTCTTCTTTTTGGGAAAAAAAAAAAAATCTCTCTTTAGGTCAATCTACGCTGTCTTTGGTTCTGAAGTTAATCTGAAAGGAATTCCTGTGTATAGATTTGTTCTTCCAGCCAAGGCATTTGCTTCTCCACTTCAAAATCCAGATAACCATTGTTTCTGCACAGAAAAAGTTATCTCAATGAATTGCACATTATTTGGTGTTCTAGATATTGGCAAGTGCAAAGAAGGTGAGTAAATATTTTCAAGGTCTTGACCCTGGCATACTTTGCAGATTCTTTAAAAGGTAACCCTTTCTTGGAATCCCTTTCCATGTAAAGTCCTATATTAAAATAGAGAGCATAGCGCCAAAGAGATGAATTGAAAATCCAGAAGTGAATCTATGCATTTTTGCACAGCAAATTTTTAACCAAGGGCTGAAATTCATTAAATGGAAAGAGATAGTCTTTTAAGCAAATGGTTAAGGTAAAACTAGATATCCATTTGCAAAAATAGCAACAGGATCCATATCTCACACTGTGTATACAGAAATGAACTCAAGGTGAATGAAAGTCTTACATGTACAATCTAAAACTATAGGGACCATCAATGAACAAATAGGGACAAACTTAGATGCTCTAATACATGTCTTAAATACACTATCAAAGATAGCCCCAAACATACAAATTACAAAAGACAAAATAAGTAGCTGTGTTCTTATGTGCCTCAAAAGATTCCATAAAAAGAGTTAAAAGAGAACCCATGGAGTGGGGAAATATTGTCCACATACTGGACTAATCTCTAAATTTTATAGAAAAGTTCCACCTCAACAACAACACAATCTAATTTAAAAATGAGCAGATGACATGAATGAAGAGATACTTCACCAAAGACATTCATGTAGACAACCAGGTTATGAATAGATGCATGAAATCATTAGCCATTGAACATATGCCAACCAACCCAATGAAATATCTCACCTCAGCCTTAATAGCAAAGATCCAAATGACAACAAAATGCGGATAAGAGTGCAAAGACACTTGCACATCCACACACTGCTATTGGGTGTGTAAAATGGTACAACCATGGAAAAGTGCTTGGCATTTCCTTAACCTTTGGAAATAAGAATACCATATCACACAGGAATCAGTCTACTTGGAATATATGTATTAGAAGAAAAAGAATCATGAAATGAAGAGATAGATGGTCCCATGTTCATCTCAGCACCATTGAGGATGACAGAAAAGGAAACAACCTAGGTTCTCATCTGTGGAAGAATGGATAAGTAGACTACGGTATATACACACAATGGAATACTATGCAACATTAAAGAATAATGATGAATCTGTGATACACATCATAACATGGATGCACATGGCGGACATTATATTCAGTGAAATTAATCAATTAGAAAATGATACATATTTTATTAGACCACTATTGTAAAATTTCAAGAAAATATTTTCACAATAAAATAAATATACTTTGATGGTTACCAAGGTTGGCGGAGGTAGGGAGGATAAAGTACCAACTAGATGGTAGGAACATATTAATGTGGGTGAAGTGGAAGGCTATTTCCAATCAGGGAGAGGCAGCAAAGAAAGCTTGCTGGAGGCAAAGGAAGAAGACATTGGCGGCAGTTCAACACACTGGTAGGAGTTCAAGAATTAAAGGCAACAGGGGTGAATCTGATATGCCCAATCTTGTAATAATAATCATGTTGATTTATGGGCAAATACATGAATAAACATATGGGCTCAATAGATGTGAGAGGGAGAATGGTGTATCCTCAAAAATATATGTAAGTTTCACAGAGGGTATTCACTATAAATTTGCTGTAAATATTTCCATTAATGTGGTGGAGCATGCAGAAGACAACCTTAATGAAGATTTCTGAGACATAATCAAACACTTTGAGGGAATGCATCCTGGGTTCGCTGGCTCAGACCAGGGACGACATGATCAATGGCTATAACAGAGTTCACTAAGACAGGGCTCCATACCCTATCAGCCCGCAGTGCTCAAACTGTGGATATTGACTCCTTTGGGGGTCGAACGACCTTTTCACAGGGGTTGCCAGATTCATAACAGTAACAAAATTAGAGTGATGAAGTAGCAACAAAAATAATTTTATGGTTAGGGGTCACCACAACATGAGGAACTGTATTAAAGGGTCAAGGCATTAGGAAGGTTGAGAACCCCTGCTCTACAGATAACCACTCCCCTTTTAAGAGCCATGTGAGTGATGTGTACTGGACTATAGTGGTAAGAGTTATGTGTCAATAGACCATGATTCTCGGTGGTTTGGCAGACATTATGCAATCACCCTCTATGTTGTGATCTTATGTGAGCAGCCAATCAGTTGAAAGCAATGAGCTCAAACTTGTGAAAGGTTGTGAGGCTGGTCCATGTGCAGACAGTGTTCACTTGGTTGTCCTTGGGGCCACGCTGAGTCAGGACCACTTCAACGCCACTCAACAACAAAAATGATAGGAGGGGGCTTCAAAAAACGTTTCTCAGGAAAATCCATTATCCCCTCCTTCAGCAGTTCTCAACCTGTGGGTCGTGATCCCTTTGTGGGTCAAGTGACCTTCCACAGGGGTCACCCAATTCATAACAGTAGCAAAATTACAGTTATGACGTAGGAATGAAAATAACTATGGTGGTGGGGGGGGTCATCACGACATGAGGAACTGTATGAAAGGGTCATGGCATTAGGAAAGTTGAGAACCACTGCATATGCTGAGCAATTTCTGGGGTCTGAAAAGCTCAAAGGAGACCTGGTGACAGAGTGGTCACGGGCGTGGGTTGTGTTCTACAGGGTCTGCGATTTGGAACCACCAGCCACTCCACAGAAGAAAGATGAGCTTTCTACTCCCACATCCAGTTATAGTCTCAGAACTCACAGGGGCAGTTCTACCCTCTTCTGTAGGGTGGCTATGCGTTGGCACCCTTTCAATGTCAGTGAGTTTGATGTGATTTGGCCATCAAAAGCTCAACTATTGGCCTCTTCCCATTCACAAGTCACATGGAACCATTCGCACAATGGAATGGTGGTTCATAAAACCACCAGTCTCCAAGAAACTGAGAGCAGAAGAACGCGATGGTCCCTGACGACCACTCCCAATTGCTTTCAGCAGGATCACACTAGATGGCCTTTACAGTGGGAGAAAAACATGGAACCAAACTCAAATCCTACAAGACCAGGCTCACTTGCAGGTGGGCATTGGTGGAGACCGATGTCCTTATATCATACAATATGCTAATTCAATCATCCTAAGAAGATTTGTGCAATCATCATCACAATCCATTTAATAACATTTTCTTCATTCTCCTATTTGTTGTCATTCCCCTGACCTTCCCTGATATGTTGCTAGAGTTATTAATCCATTTACTGTCGCCACAGAGGTGTTTAGCTTAGATTTCATATACAGAAAAACAAACAAAATCAAGAAACAAACAAAAGAACAATGACAAAATAAAGCAGAGGAAAAACTCAACTGAAAAGAAAGAAGAAAGTATTTTTAAAATGGGACAAATTTAAAATTTGTCAAAAGGAAGATCAAATGATGAGGTTTTACATTCAACCTAAGTACATGTGCCATAGATGACATTACAGTGCTCTCCAATAGCAGGGCTGCTCGCTTCTTTAGATGCTGATCAGAGGAGGTCGACTACACACTTCATCCATGCGGGGACCCTGCAAATTGATTATGAGCTTCCACTGTCATCCATAGACTTCAGCAAACTGGGTTTTCAGAATGTAAGCCCTGGTACCATTCCATACTCTGGGTTCAGGTTTTATTATTTATAATCTTCGGATCACCTAGGCTACAGTGCTTCTTCTGTGCGAGCTTAACTGGTGCCTCACTTCGATGGCTGCTTGTTTCACGATGTGCCTCAGTACCACACTTTATCACTGGTAACTGCAGTGTCCTCCCTGTGAGGGTGAGTATAGAGTAGGGTTATGTCATAAGAACTAATTGTTCTAAGATTAGGGCTATAATTCAGTGTAAGACCAAAGTCCATTCATATATGTATGGTGTATATAAGCCCCTGGTTCATTTTAGTCATCATTATGACTTTATGTGGAAAAGCATTATAAATCATTCCCATGGGGCATAAGGTACTTCTATTGATAGTATCATTACTTCCGCTAAAGGTATATAATTTAAAACACATTTGATATTAGGAAATTATATATACATATGCCACTTATTTGGAGTTCAAGACATATATGAATTTTTTCTCAGTAATATGTAAAATGTAGAAAATGATTTATTTACTCCTCATTATCTCTTTAAACTTGTTTTCAGGAAAACCTGTGTACATTTCACTTCCTCATTTTCTACATGCAAGCCCAGAGATTTCGCAAGTTATCGATGGCTTACATCCAAATGAAGAAGAACACCGTACATATTTAGATGTTGAACCTGTGAGCCAATATATTATTGATTTTGTTTATTTTTTTTAAAAAATGAAGGGAAAAATTATATCCTTCTTGTTAATCCCAACGTTCTGATCAGATTGCTCATTTCTTATGTGATTACTGAACTTGGCTTCCTATTGTTGCATACAAGATGTCAAGGCAATTCCATTTTAATTGTTCAGTGTATGAAATTTATGAACCTTTCAATGGTTCATGGGGTAAGGAATACCAATCATTGAAATTTTTCTAAGTAATTTAAAATAATGTGATCGTTTTATGCCTTTATGCTTATTTTGAACTTATTAACAGAGTTTCTGTTCTCCTTTTAGATAACTGGATTCACTTTACAATTTGCAAAACGACTCCAGGTCAATATATTAGTCAAACCAGCAAAAAAAATTGAGTAAGTGTCTTGAACAAGATGATTATTATATGATTTTTAGTGTTTTTAAGAAAGTGAATGAATGGATTAAAGATACAGAAAGGTTTTCAAATCTCAGCTTTTCTTTAACTTAATGCCATTAAATATTCATTATTAAATGCTTAGGGCTGTAATTTAGATTGATATCTAGCATTGATTGAAATGGTATTTAAACATTTTTAAATGCTTTCTAGCTGTCTATTGATGACATATCTCATTTTGCTAGCTGCCCAAATATTTCTATGACAATAATTTCTAAAATTCATCTTTTGCCTTTGACAGAAGAAATTGTTGAAAGGAGAAATCTGATCTTGGGAAAGAGTCAGTCTAGTACATTATAATTATGAGTGAAAAAAATCTGAGAAACAGCTTCCATAGTTTTATATTTTTTTCAATCATTTTATTATGGGCTCATACAACTCTTATCACAATCCATACATACATCA